AATCTTAAGAATTCAACAAGAAGTAATTTTTCAGAGCTTAATTCTCAAATTTGTTTACCTTCACAAGATTACTGCAAAGATAAACTTAAAAATTGAATTGAAAATAATCGTGTACCCTGAGAATGAAGTGTCTAAGCTTTTCTTTTAGGAGTCCATCTCTAAGCAATGCTCGCTCGTATACAACTACGATTTCTCACTACTGGTTGCGAATTGCTGCTTAAACTTGGAAATATTGATATATGTACCTATTTCTTATTTCGTATCCAGTAAATCTGCTCTTCTGAATGCAGAGTTTTCAGCTTTAGTAAACTCAAACACTTTAGCAAACATAAACTTAACCTTAGTCGACGCAAACTTTGTTCCTGTAAAACTTTTATGTCCTATGTATTTGTCAATGACGGCAGAAAGTTTCGATTGGAAGATGCAACTGGTGAAAGTATTGTACTACAAGAACACACTTCACAACAAAATAGCTCAAGAACAACAAATGGACAAATGCAACAAATGCAACAACAAAGTCAAGAATAAAAAAAATATTTTTTTTTATTTTTATAAAAATGTACAGAATAGACGTTTCAGATTTTTATTGACTTCCAAGCGTTCAGAAATATGTGTCCATTTAGAGACTATAACAAAGCAGTCGAGAATTTGAAACGTTTAGTTTATTTATGTCGACTCTGCCCAGAATGTTATGTCATGAAAGAATGGGATGTTGTCTTTAACAAACCAAGAGCAACAATAGTTTTCAGAACAAGAATGTAGACAGAAACTTAAGAAAATAAAAGTCGTACAAGTTGGTATGAAGATGTTAGATGCTTGGGATATCTTATTGTCAAAGTTAGAAGATTTTTCAGTTCGTGGTATAAAGTTCTATACACCATCTCCAAACTTCTATTCTATCTTCACTGGATATAAATACGAACAAGTAGAATGGAAAGAAATGTTATAGAAGCTTGGTTAGACCATGTCAAAGAAATAATATGCAATGGAAACGAAAGAGTCTATGAGTATATCTTATGTTGGTTTGCAAAACATCTTACAATATCCAAGTGCTAAAAATGAAACTGCTCTCATTATAATTGGAAAACAAGGAACTGGTAAGAACACATTCTTTACAGATATTTGTGCAAACTGTTAGAGGGCTATTCGAACCTAATATGACAAAACTTAGAAAACATCTGCGGTAAATTTAACTCTTCAATAGAGAATATGAAACTTATAGTATGTAACGAACTTACAAAGTATAGATACAACAAAGGTTTTAAACTCAGATGCTTTGAAGAGTCTTATAACAGACAAAGTTGGAGTTGTTTGAAAGAAAATATAAAGACCAAAGAGTTTGTGAAAATGTTGCAAATTTCATCATGGTTTCAAACAATGTTGTTCCGATGAAGTTAGAAAGTTCTGACAGAGATATGTAGTTGTCAGAACGTCAGATTCTCATATGCAAGATACAGAATATTTTGACGACTTAGCAGAAACTTTGACACCTAACTTTTACAACCACTTGTTCTCATATTTCATGACATTAGATATTTCAAAGTTCAATCCAAGACAAATTCCACATACCGAAGAAAGACAAACATTGTTAGAAGCAAACAAGAGTGTATATGAACTGTTTATAGATGAAACTGACTTTGTGTCATTAGATGAAAGGTCATTGTACGATGAATATAAACAGTATTGTCAAGAGTATGGTTATATGGCAGCGTCTAAACGAACATCTTGGCAAATGTCAAAAATCTTTTGGATGTACAGAACGGCGTAATACAAAGAAAATTTTTCTGAGTAAATTTAAAAAAAATATTTTTTTTATTTATTTGAAATGTACGCTGAGTTGTTTTGAGAAGACCGTTGGGAAACTTGTTTGTTAGATAGAAATGAAATTCACTGTTGTGAGTCATTTGAAGTCAAAACAAAGAGACAAAAAGAGTTTTAAGCGGATGGGAGCAAAATAACGGATATGCGCCTATTCTGGTTAGATTGTCCTTATGAAATGTATGAAAAAGGCTTTATATGAAGAATATAGAAAATATTGTCATGAAAACGATATATAGAGATCTAAGCTCTGTATGAGAAATTCATAAACATCTTTCGAAGTTCGGAATGGCAAATATAGAAAGAAATAATTTTTCTGAGTAAATTTTTAAAAAATATTTTTTTTATCCGATAGAAAAAGATGGCAAAATTCATCTCAGTAAATAAGTACATGACAGAAGTCAAAGATAAGTTAGCTCCATTCGCATATTTGAATGTTTACTTCTATAATTTTGAAAAGTCTACATTTGACAAAGTTTGGAACATTGCACCAGTTAAAGTTTGCTGTTGTTAGAAAAAGTGGTGCAACTTTTGAAGACTTAGACATAGAAGGTTTGTTGACAGTCAAAGAAAATTTTGACAGAAAGTTCTCAAAACTCGAGAAAGGTAAAGCATACAAACTTGTTATACCTTATGAACCAAAGAAAGCAGACGACTATGAATATTATGAGTCTAAGATAGTTGAAGTTCAAGGTAAATTGGGTAAAAAGATTTTAGAGTCTAAGCCAGTGTTTCTCCTAAAGAGGAAGAGAACATTGACATTGACCCAGAAATGTTCTAAAAATAAATTTTATTTTTTACATGTCATATCTCACCTTCTCTGGAACTGGTTCACGGTTCTTTCTTCTCTTCTACTTTCTTTTCTTCTACTTTCTTTTCTTTCTTTTCTCTCTTCTTCTTCTTTTCTGGTGGAGTTATGTCAAATTTCTCAGAACCATATTTATGTAAAAGTTCTTTGTCCTTTAATAGCTCTTCTATTCTGTTTCCTATTTCATCTTCAAGAACAGCGCATGTGTCTTCTTTGCATTCTAAGAACTTTTGTTGGACTTCATCTCTCCAAGAGGCGTCATCTCTGTCAACAAGTCTGTCATTGACAAACTTAAAGACTTCTCTGCCTAATGTTTTATGGTTCTTGTCATATTCCAGAAACAGAACTTTAGAACAAATTCACCTTTCTTGTTTACACTATGTAAGATTTTATGGTCGAAGATGTTTTGCTGTCAAAAAGCTTGTCTCGAAATAGATAGCGAAATCGCTAGACATTTTCAAAAAGATAAAAATTTTAATTTTTCCTAAAAAATATGTTAGAAAAAAAGTTTGCTGACATTGACAAGAAATTTGAGAATGTTTTAAATAAGAACAAGAGGAAGTTGGAAAAATGCTCAGATAAAACCCATACATGACAAGTTCCTATTTGCTCAGAATGGTATAACAGGTCTAATCGCACCACCTGGGTCGGGTAAGACTTTCACTTATCTTAAAATGGCTGCACAACAACAAGAACTAGATGAGAAGAACCCATTCTATGAGTTAGGTAGTCATTTGTAGTACTTCTGGTCAATTTGACCAAACCGTCAATTCGTTCAAAGATATTATAAAGAAGTCTAAGTTAGTATGTATAAAAGACCTCTGAGTTGTTAGATTGGATAAAGAAGTACCCAAAGAAGAGTTTTGGTGTACAATGCTATAAATGAGTATATAAATTCTAAGTTCAAAGACCAAATGAGGAAATGCAGAGAATATTAGAGAAGAAACACTTCAGAAACAAACAGAAAGAGATAGAATACATTTCGAAGAAATTGCAATCTTACGATTGGAAGACTTACCCTCACAGATGTCTTCTTATCTTAGATGATTTCGCCTCTCATCCTTTGTTAAAGAACAGAGAACAAGATATGTGTCGAATTCTTAAGAAGCTCAGACACTTTAACATCTCAGTTGTCATTTGTGTACAGACAGCAAAGAGTTTAAGTAAGGATGTTAAAAGAATACTTACTGACATAATACTTTTTTCCCGGATTGTCCGAAGACGATTTCATGGAACTTATGAAAGAGTCCATGGCAGGTAAGTTTGACAGACATGAACTATGGAGAAGTATAAAGTCATACAAGACCCTCATACTTCTTTCAGAATTCATATCTACGCAAACAAAGTTCAAATTGTAAAAAGTCAAGCTTGAAAAATGTAAGTGTTTAGTCTTAGTAAGTCTGTTGTGGTGCTGGGGCTGTCGGTCCTTCTGGCTTTGGAATGGACTCGGTTGGTGGTACGTCGGACATTCGTTTGTGTCCTGTTCGGAAGGAAGAACTTTTCCAGTTGTCGGGAAAAACTTTTCCTGTCGGAAGGAAAAATTTTTTTTTTGTTGGAAGGAAAAATTTTTCCAGTTGTCGGGAAAAAAGTTCTCAATTTTCGAAAATTTGAATGGTTTACGGACGGACAACAGGAAAATTTTTTCCAGTTGTCGGGAAAATTTTTTCTTGTCGGATGGAAAAACTTTTTCTGTCGGAAGGAAAAACTTTTTCTGTCTGTATGTTTGGTATCGGAATGCCAGAAGGATTTGACAAGACAATTTACATCTAGAGCTACATGAGCCATCTTTGGTGTCAAGCTTGAAAATAAATGGTTCATTAACTCTGCTTGTTTGAAGTTGTCAAAAATACTCTGTTATTTTTTCCTTTAACAATGGCAAATCTTCTTTGAAGGTAAGTATTGTACAACCTTTCATATCATAGTGTGTTTGAGGTAAAGTATCTTGAACTATTTGTTTCACATCTTCATTCGGTGTCATTGAAATCGGTAAGTTTTCGCGATAGAACAATTTCTGTCAGATTTGTAAATCTTAGCAAGGTCGTAAAAGCTTTTGTTGTTTCTTCTGACTAAATGCAACATAACCATATCTTTATCTTCTTCATTTTCCATCTCTTCAGTATAAATCATATACTTATAGTTCTTTTCCTTTCCTTTTGGTACCGCAACGTGGCCGAACGTTAGTATTCTTTTCTGAATGTTTTTGTCTTTTGCTTCAAGCTTGTTCTCTAGCTCTTCACGTTCTTGTCTGTGAATTTCGTCAAGAAGTCTGTAAATATTCCAAGCATAACGAGGCGAAGCCCACATTGCAACAGCATTTACAAGAAGTCTATGTACATAATATCCTCTCAAACCGTTTGGCAATTTTTCACGATTTTCATAGAGTTTTGGCGACCAGGGTTTTTTCCCTACTCGCTGTTCTTCACTGTTTTCATAGAGTTTTGGCGACTGCGGTTTTTTACTTACTCGCTGTTCTTCACTGTTTTCATGAGTTTTAGGCGACCCAGAAAAAAGTCGGTCTCGCTGTGCTTCGCTCAAAAGTTCTTGTGTGCTTTGGTTCCTAAACCAGTCTTGTGGTTTCTTAGTATCTGGAGCAAAACATGCTGTCAAAATACTTTGCATTTGGTACATATCGTCTTTGACCGAACGAATGAGACGGAGTTGTTTGTTAAACTGTATGTACTCGTATTCTTCATTTATGGCTTCATGAACGATAGCAGTGTTGTGTTTCTCTGTTGTTGACATTACTTCTTTACATACAAAATAAAAAAATATTTTTATAAAAACTAGCGTTATTTTTTCTATCTTAAGAAATGTTAAAATATCATGGTTACATATGTGAAAAGAAGTCACGAACAAATGAAGTCCATAAGATTCAGCACAAAATTCTGAATTGAATGGTGTGTCATACATGTCAAACCGTCAAGAATTGAAGGAGATACGAGGCTATAAAGATTTTGGATATTTTCTGACACACACCCTGAGGGAAAAGTGACAAACACGACGATAGAAAAAGTGACAAAATTGAGAGAAAGTTGTTCCCCGACCAAAATGCAATCATGTTGAAAAAGTGACATTTGTAAAGTTGGACGATAGGATTTCCTGAAAAAGTGCAAGACTTGTCTTGAATCAGGACAAGACTTGTCTTGAATCAGGACAAGATTTGTCTTGAAAAAATACAAGACTTGTTCTGAAAAAATACAAGACTTGTCTTGAATCAGGACAATTGTTCTCAAATTTGAGAACTTTACAAGAAAAACTGACTTAAAAAGCCAAGTCTGTTCTGAATCAGGACAAGATTTTGTCTTGAAAAAATACAAGACTTGTTCTGAAAAAATACAAGACTTTTCTTGATCAGGACAAACTTTACAAAATGTAAACTTTACATAAACCGTTTCTATCGTACCATGATATTAGTTGACATTGTTAAACTATCTTCATGTAAAGTATGGCGGTTTGAAACCGTCGGGAACCTCTCACTTTTTTACGAAACTTTCCTCACAATTTTTAAATTTGTGAAAAACTCACGGTTTGACACGTGTCATATGTCATTTTACTCAGAATTTTTTGAAATTCAGCAAAAATAATTTTTAGGTGAAGAGGTGAAGCCCACATTTGCAACAGCATTTACAAAAGTCTATGTACATACAAACCTTCTCCAAACCAGGAGCCAAATTTCTTGCGATTTCGTACGGAATCTCTACCTCGGTTTTCGGAGGTAGCAAACATATGAGGAAATTCTTCTAAAAGTTCTTTTGGCTGTTGTTTTCAAACCAATGGTATGCTTGCTTTGTAGAACAGAAGAGCCATTCAAAATACTTTGCATTTTGGTACATGTCAATCTTTGACCGAACGAATGAGACGTAAACTGTTTGTCTATACTGAACCCACTCGTATTCTTCACTTAATAGCTTCCATGAACGATAGCATGTGTTGTTGTTACTCTGATGTTGACATATCTGTACCTTATCATCCGACGATATAAAAAAAAATATTTTATTAAAAAATTACGTTTTTTCTGATTCACAAAAGAAGACCACAAACGAAATACAAACGACTTCTACATGTATTTTTAGCTCAAGCAACCTTTCGTCACACTATAATTTTATAGCTGTTAACCCCTCATTCTCAATCCTACTTCAAACGTTCTTTCTTTACCGTGCGAGCAACGCCACCATTACACTTTTCTCTCAAACTTTACAAGTAGTCGTCTGTTTCAGGCAGCATCTTTCATTATCGCTTAACAAACACAACCTTAACTCTATTGACTGTTTAGAGTCATATCTTTGCAGTCCTATATATAATGTCTTCCCTATCTTATATCTTTTTGTATTGAAAGTCCTTCCGGTTTCTGAACGATCGTAAAGTAAGCCGTTCACTGCAACGTTCCGATTCGAATGACCATAAGCTTATAGCAAGTTAATATCAACAACTCCGGCGTCTAACCATAAACACAAAACTATTGTATAGGACTTTTGTCTATAAGATATCTGTTCTTGTCTCACATAGGAATCTTCACCGATATCATAAGCTTCAGGATTCTTTTGTCAAATTTTCTGAGTAGAAGCATTTCTAACCCAGATCGTGGGATGTTTCTTTTCAGATAGTGTTAAAATGCTGACAAAGAATATGTTGTTGCTATTTCTTGAGTATCTTACGTTTAAATCACCAATTTCTAAACCACTTTGGTCTCATTTCATCTCTTTTAACTGTTTCATACTTCCAGTGTTTGTCTTTTCCATGTATCTACATTACAAATAAAAAATAATATTTTAAAAAACTAGTCGTAATATTTTTTTCTGTCTTAAGGAAATTTCATGATTTCATACGGAATATCAATTTAAAATATATTTAGGCGACCAGGTCACTCGGTTTTAAATGAACTTCTCTGAAAAAGTGTTGACAACATGACATTTTGACAACAACACAGAAATTATACTTCTTCGTAAATGTTTTGTCAAGACTTCTTCGTAATGAGCAGTAAAAGACCCAAAATATATTTTTAGGGTAGAAGGGTAGTATCTACCCGTTTTTTACCCTGTTTCTACGCCCATAATCGTCCCCTAGCTTACTTGAGAACAAAGTCATTGATGTTCCATTATGTCATCTTTTACTCAGAATTTTGTGCTGAATCAGCAAAAATATATTTTTAGGGTAGAAAGGGTATTATCTTACCCCAGTTCTATCTACCCTCACATTATCTACCATAAAGTTTTTACAAGCGTTATTACATTGGCCGATATATGTTGTGATGGTTCATGACTTTAAACAGTTTTGTAGCTTCTTATTTCTTCTCTCACGAAGGTATCAAAAATTTTAACTATGACGCGAAGGTTTCTTTATATTTTCTTTTTGACATCTGATAAGAAGGAATCGTTAGCGTGGATAGTTTTTGTGTTTTCAGAACATGTCAACATGTCCATTTTATCTTCTGCTGGTTCTCTACTTCTTTCTTTAGTTCAGTATGGTCTTTTCTTCATTTTCTATCTCTTTTGACGAAGTAGTTATATTTCCTCATTGCTGCTTTTACATTTTAGAACATTGTGATGTTTTCATTTTTGCGTTTATATCTTAAAGGTTCGACCAGATGTAATTTGACTTCTAACTTCACGATACTTTTCATATGCATATCTTGTTCTTTCCATGGGAGCATGACCATCCTCTGCACTACCTTTTTTCCTTCTCAAAGGATGCAATTGTTCGTCATGTTTCCAGTAGAATCTGGCAAAGCCGTCGTGTCCTTCAACTTGAGGTTCACTAACATCGAAAGGCATGTCCATAAGACGTTCTTCTTCTAACCTCTCTAGTCTGTTTGGATAATTGCACGTGCTGTTTCCAAATCCATTTCGTAGCGAAGACCAGCCAGTTTGTCATAGACTTTTATGGGTCTTCCCTTCCTATATTTAAACTTCTTCGAAACTCTCCAACCATATCTTTGAACTCTGCTTTTATTCTAGCAGACTTTCTATCCATTCTATATGGGGGCATTTTTATAAAAATAAAAAAATATTTTTTCTTTACTTTACATAACCGCCTGCTGCCATAAGTCTTTGACGCCAACCCATACCAGCTAATGAAGGTTGACTTGGTTTAGTTTGGAAACTAAACTTTGGTTTTGGTTTATCTTCAGTTTTTGGTTTTCTTCTTCTATCGGTTTTTCGTCACTTTTCGGTTCCTCTGACTTTACTTCACTGCAGGAACAGTTGTGTCGTCAACATCTTCATAAATATCATATGCCATTTGTTTTTGTTTTCCTTTCAACTTTTTGTGTTTGTTGTAAAGTTTAGAATATTTCGACTCTAAGTCAATGAGATGTTCTATAATGAACTGTTGGTCAGTGAAGTAAACTTTTCCATCTGTTGTCTCGAAAGCTCCTTCAGACTTCAATATTTTATTTGTGAGAGTCTGTTTCTTTTTTGAGATACTAGCCGTTCCATTTCTATGAAAAGTGACTTTATAGTTAGGGTTTGTATTTCCAGACCTGGCACTTTCTATTATTGAATTTTTCTCTTCATCTGTAAGTTCTTTGACAGGTTTTGACAATGGTTCTGAACTTTTTGTTTGTGGTGTCAAATCTACCGTTTCAACTTCTTCGGTCATTTCATCTCAGTAAAAAATTTTAGTTTGGTTTGTTTTCAACTGGTTGTTGTTGTTTTTTAAGTCGGTCTAAAACTTCCTGAGGTATAGGAAGAACTTGACAAACACGTTGTGTAACTGCTGGAAGTCGACAAATCCATCTTGAACCCATTTGTCTCAATGCTGTATTGTTCATTTCATCTCAGTAAAAAACTTTACATTCCCCACGTTTGAGGCGGTTGAGGTTGGTTATTGTTTACCCACTGTTGTGCATGGTTATATCCTCTGTTAAAGAATCTTTCACCTTGGTCCATATAGTGTCCTGCTTGGTTATAGTAGTCATTTGCTTTGTTATAATAGTTTCCTGCTTGTCTTCCTACATTGTCCATCCATCCTTGAACTTTTCCTCTTGTTTCAGGATTTGGAATAAGATTTGTTGCATCTCGTGCTACATCCCAACCTTTCTGTACAGTTTGTATAATAGGTTGTGCTTTCTCTTTAAGTATACCTAATGTACTCAAAATCTTCCTTCCAACTCCAAATACACCTCTGGCTATTGTTCCCACTGCGGGCAAAAATCTGGATGCAACTCCTGCTAATGCGCCAAATAAACCCATTTCTTATAGGGTAAAAAATGACGAATCCAAACAAGGACCCCTATGTTTCTAAAGCGACAAAGAAAGCACTCATGATAAAAATCTTTAGTTCAACACCAAATGCTTGGTTTATGGATATCTTGGAAAACATTCCGAGGTATAGAGAAGATGGACCACCATACTGGCTAATATTTGTCGGTCAAAACACAAGATACTGTGAAGCCATACCATTAGTCCAAAAATATTTTAGATATCTTGCAGCTTTGACAATATTCGTTGACAAATACCATCCAACAAAACTGACATCTGACTGTGAAAGTTCTTTCAAATCAGATGATGTAAAAAACTATCTGCGTTCAAAAAATGTAAACCAATATTTCATTGTCGACCAAAACCATTCTGCTCTTGGTGTCATTGACGGTTGTATAAAAATGTTAAGAGACTTAAACCAACCACAAGGTGGTGAAGCAAATGAAATGTCATATGACGACAAATATAGACACTTCTCCATGGCAAAGATGAGACAAGTTTTAAATATTTACAATAGCCGTAAACAAAAAGGTTTGGGAAACC